ATGCACGCAAAGGCAAGGGCAAGGACATCGGCGCCAGATGGACCAACAGCGGCAAAGGCAAGGACCAACCCGGGAGCTGGCAGCGCTGGACTCCATACGACCGCTTCGCAGGTGGTGGAGGTAAGACCAGCAAGGGTGGCAAGGGCGCTGGCAAGGGCAAGTACCAGAAGGGCTCATGGGAGCGGCGGCCTAACATGCCGCGCTTGCTCTTGGGCCTCCACTACAAGAACACGGATGGCAGACCGCTTTGTTTCGCGTGGAACCTCCCTGGAGGATGCACAAAAGGCAAGGATGGAGCCTGCGACCGCGGCCTTCACTTGTGTTCCAAGTGCCTCGGAGCGCACTCGTACAACGAATGCCCGCAGAAAGGGCCCAACTGACTACCGCTGTCAGTGCAAGGTGAGCCTGCTTCCCCTACCACGGAGGCCAGACGATTACACACATTTTTCGGGCTTGAGATCTTCGCTGGCTCTGCCGGCCTCACGGCAGCCCTCAAGAATATTGGCCTCAGAGGAAGCTTCGGCATTGATTCAGTTTTGTACAAAGTTAGACTAGGGCCGGTAATCAAACTTGATCTACTTCAGTCCGGCGCTCAGAAGTTACTTTTCTCCATTTTCGAAAGTCAACGCCTACTTTTTGTTTGGCTGTCGCCCCCTAACGGCAACGCCCCAGCAGCTCCAGCGATCAAGAAGCCGCATGTCGAGGGAAACTCCCCAGAAGAAAATGACGAGTTCAACCTCAAGGACCCCAGCGCCGGCGACTCAGACCAGGAAGACAAGATCACGCATCTTCAGGATCTATCCTGCGCAATATGCGTGTACCTCAGCCAAGCTGGAAAACCCTGGTCGGTCGCATGCTCCACCGTCAGCAACCTTGGTCGACACAAGCATGGCAGGCTGTTGTTGAGCTATGTCAGCCCACCTACAGCTGCTTCCAGACCTGCATGTATGGAGGATCCAGGCCGAAGCGTATGACGCTGGCTTTCGCGAACATGCCCGAGCTCTCCTACATCAATTTGCTATGCGATGGCTCCCATGAACATGACACGGGAGGCTGGGGCCGTAGTGCCCCCAACGCATCAAGTGTCTTTGATAGCCCGTGCCCCAGAAAACTGTGCACTGCAGTAGCGACCGCGGTGCATGCAAACTGCATCGCGAGGGGCATCCAAGATATACCCTCCGATCTCCGGTCTGTACCGGGAGACATCGCCGTGGACGAGGTTGCCGCCCGAGCTATGGCAGGGTCGGCCCAGAGACAGCTGCCCGGGCTCATGCCAGAATACCGGGTCAAGCTCACAGTCACCTTGCACCTATCAGACATCACTTGGCAGGTCAAAGACAGAACTCAGCATTTCCTCCAAGTAGGTGATGTTTTGATTCCCCCGAACTCCCGCCTCCTGGCGATCATTCCCACAACAAATGGGGATGTGGATGCTCGCCAGTGTATTTTCGGGGTACCATGGAAACCCCACGAGTTCGTTCAAGAAGCTGCCCTAAGAGGTTTCCCGAACAACTTTGCAGAGGTTGTGCCCGACGAGCTCGATGAGGCCATCCTAAACCTGGCAACTCAGCCTCACCACGTCATAGTCAAGAGAAGAAGTGACTTCTTCAGAAGATGGTTATCCAGAGCAGCTGACCTACACTCGCAGGAGGAACAGCTTAAGGCTTCCTTTGACCCGCCCTTTGCGAGTGTGGTCCGTCCCAAAAATATTCTCCTCTTTGAAGAGATGGTACGAGAGTACTCTCTCGCCGACAAGGATGTTGCTTCGATTCTCAAGAAAGGAGTCGACCTAGCAGGGAAGATCCCCCTGTCCCATGACCTTCCTAAGTCCTTTACTCCCCCACATCTCAGCCTCGACGAGCTTGAAGAGCTCACTCCTCTGATCCGCAGAGGGAACCAAAGATCTTGTCGAAGAGACCTGGGACAAGACGTTGATTGAAGCTGAGAAAGGGTGGCTATCTGGTCCATTTGACCCAGGGTCACCTGAGGCCGCCGGGCTGCTTTTCAACCGCTTTGGAGTTGTGCAGAAAGGAAAGATAAGGTGTGTAGACGACATGTCTGCCTTGCTGATAAATGCCACGACATTTGCTGAAGAAAAGATCACCCTGCATAATGTGGATGTTATCTGTGCGGCCATCGGTCGATGGTATCAGCTCAGACAGAAGGCAGGCCTCCCTACGAAGCTCCTAGCAAAAAGTTTCGACTTGAAGTCGGCTTACAAGCAGCTCCCAATTGCTTCTTGTGCAAGGAGACATGCTGGCTTGGCCCTCAGTGATCCCAAAGGCAGATGTAAAGTTTTCCGATCCATTTCTCTTCCTTTCGGTGCCACGCAGTCAGTTTTCTCTTTCAACAGGATGAGCAGAGCCGTGTGGGCGATTGCTGCAAAGGGGCTGTGGTTAATGTGGACCTGCTTTTACGATGACTTTCCAATCTTCTCAGAGCCAGGCCTCGAAAACAACACAGACCAGGCGGCCGAAACTTTCTTCACCCTGCTCGGGTGGGCTTTCGACAAGGAAGGCGACAAGCACACGTCTTTCAGTGCGAAGCTCAGTGCCTTGGGGGTTGTCGTGAACCTCTCACCTCTCAGCAAGGGTATGGTCGAGATTCTGAACACTGAAGCCCGAGTTTCAGAGCTCATCAGAGACCTTCTTCAGGTCACCCAAAACCGACATCTCTCTCAAAGCCATGCTAAACATCTCGCAGGAAGGATGTCTTTCGCAGGTTGCCAGGTTTTCGGAAGACTTGCCAAGTCGTGCCTCCGAGTCTTCCATGCTAGAACTTTGTCCAGGGACGGCAAACTCGATGATGAAGCCCTCGCTGCTGTCAAAGCTTATTGTGGTATTCTCAAAAGAGCCCCAGCTCGACAAGTCTCTGCAGCGAAGAAAGAGTGCTTCTACCTTTACACTGATGCCTCCTTAGAGGAAGGAGAAAACGGCACCTGTGCAGGACTGGGAGGAGTGCTTGTCGATCCTACAGGCTTGCCCTTACAATTCTTCTCGTGGTTCCCCGAGCAGGAAGACTTGATGATGTTGGGCATTGACCTTGGGACGAAGTGCATCTCTCTTCTTGAGCTCCTTGCTGTATGCATCGGGTTCTGGTTATGGGGCGACGTCTTCGGTGGGTCTTCTCTTGTTGCTTTTACTGACAATGAAGCAGCCAAGGCCTGTCTTGTCAAGGGAAGCTCTGCACATCCGATTGCCAACAAGCTTCTCTTTTGTCAAGCAGTGCTCGAAGTTGAGAGAATGTGCATTCCTTGGTTTTCTAGAGTCCCATCTCTTTCCAACATCGCCGACGGGCCCTCCAGAAAAGATGGCAGTGAACCTTTGCTTGAAGGAGTACCCAAGATCGACTTCAACTTCGCCGAATTCCTCGTTTGCTTTAAAAAGGGGGAATGCTCAGACTTCGGCTCGTTTCAGTAAGGTGCTGAGACCAACTCAGCCACAAGGTGCCAGAGCCACAGTCATGTCTGACCCCACTTGGACAAAAAGAAGAGTGTCCGCATTCTGAATGCTTCACTGAATGTGCAAGATCTCTTTTGAATTTGGTTCTGATTTCATTTTCTCATGATGACCGTTACATTCTCATCTCGATGCCGGTCCATTGACGAGATAAGCGTGCCAGCGAGGGACGAGCAAGCGTTTTATCTTGAAAATGGAAAATGACCTTTCATGTCATTTAGGCACCTCTTGTGCTTCGACTCTGTGCAGCATGTTGCGTTTTGCACTGTGCATGTGTTCTCATTTTCTTGAAGAGAGTACCTGTCTTTTCATGTCAGCTTCCAAGATCCTTGACTTCAAGCAACACTTCGGCTTGAGCAGCAGCTCTGAAGAAAGAATTTTCACCCGCCTCTCCCACCCCTTGTTCTTAAGACATGGATACACCATAGCGTTGCTCTGTTCAGGTGTGCAATTGTGCTGATCCACGCTTCAGACAACCCGTGTGCGACGGGTTCTCTGCAGATGTCTGCCCGACAGGAATGCAAGCCCATTGCTGGCCCCTGCCGCGAGTGGGCCTCATTTCAACATAAGAGTGCCAGATGCTTTTCTTTTGCTTAAGCTTGTCGTGCCTCTTGTCAGAATGAGAACTTGTCATGGAACGATTTTTGACACAAGCCAGCTTAACGAGTTTCGTCAGTTACTACGTACCTTGCGCGTGAGTTCCCCTGATGAAGGTATCTGAGGTTTTAGAGGATGTTGTTGAAGAGCGAGACCATCATCGGAGAGAGGAGGCAGAACTGAGTCTGCATCAATGGCAGTTTTTAGACCCTGAGCATGAACCTGAGCGACCGTGTGACAGTACTGCGTCAAGCTCTCAGCTTCCACCAAAAGCCTCTTGACGTGAGCGACTCTGACTCACCTTTGTCCTGTTTCAGGCCGACTCACTTAGGCCGAACCTGTGAGAGCAGTAGTGGCCGGGGAATGCTCAGACTTCGGCTCGTTTCAGTAAGGTGCTGAGACCAACTCAGCCACAAGGTGCCAGAGCCACAGTCATGTCTGACCCCACTTGGACAAAAAGAAGAGTGTCCGCATTCTGAATGCTTCACTGAATGTGCAAGATCTCTTTTGAATTTGGTTCTGATTTCATTTTCTCATGATGACCGTTACATTCTCATCTCGATGCCGGTCCATTGACGAGATAAGAGAAGTTACAGTTGCTCGGCCTTGTGCAAGAAGGCGAAAGATTCTTCATTGTGGAGTGCAACAGGAAGGATCGAAAGCATGATGGACAGTCAAAGTTGGAGGTGCGATTGTTTGTGAACAATGAGGCTTGTTTGTTGGGTTTTAGCAGTTCTGCAAACGTTGGTTTCGGGTTTGGGGTTTCAGGTTTTGGGCACAGGTGGAGCAGTCCATCTTGAAAAGAAAGTTATCTCCTACCACACTCGCGAAGAAGCAGATGGACAAAGTGCCAGAGGCACATATTCCAACGACTCGTGCTTTGGATGGTTCACGGCGATACTTAAAAAAAAAAAGCAGTCGAAGTTCTGTGTGGACCTGGTGGAAATGTTGAAGGACTTCTTGAACAATCCGCCAGAACCAGTATCTGTGTTCGAGAGCATGAACGCCACAGTGTCCGAAGATGAAGTTCGCTTTGCCTTCTTTGAGGCATCCAACATGCAGGCCGCGACGGAGTACATGGCAGGAAGTGAAAGGATCATCTTGATCTCCGATTGCACGTACCAGACGAACCATCAAAGATTGGTTCTTGGTAGTTTGGGACTTGCAGTACTTCATAGAGACGACCATGGAAAGGTGAGATGTCGGTTCTGGCCTGTGATGTTCAGTGTCTCTGAAGCTGAAGATGAGAGTGCGTATGATCTCCTTTGCAAGGCTTTCATTGACAAGACGGGTGTGAATCCGGCAAATCCTCGACGGCCACGCAGGTGCGTTTGCAGCCATGCAGCGCCAGTTCCCAGGTGCATGCATCCACCGGGATTTGCAACACGTGAAGAAGAACATTAAGGACAATGCCGGCAAACTGCAAGACACCAACTTGAAAACTTACATCACCGACGTGGTCGAGTTTTCAGCGAAGCTTTCGCAACCCAGTGAATTTCATACCGTCTGGAAAGACACCCTGGGTCGGCTTCGTAACGAGTGGCACGAGAAGTGTGGTTCGAAAGATAGACTGGTCTAAGAGTCAGAGGGTAAGTCTTTAAGGTCCGACTCAATACCTAAGCCAGATCAGGAGTCCATGGCCGCTTACTTGGAGGAGCACATCTTAGACAAGTCTTCTAGACGCTGGTACGGAGCACGGTGGCAGTCAGGCTTGGGCTCCATTTGTATTGGCTACAACACATACACCTCCAACAGTCAGGAGAGGATGTGGCAGACCCTGAAGGGGAGTTTGCCCAAAGATGGAAGGCACCTGAATTTGGGCGATCTAGTTCAAAACACGGCCCAACTTCTTCTGACTTGGACGCGGACCGGGCAATTCGCAAGTGTGTTCTTCCGACTTGAAATGCCTCTGCCAGTTCACTTGTCGAACAAGGGCAAGCAGATTATGTCAGAGCCAGATGTAGACCCGTGCGGCGTCCAGCACAGGCGGCTAAGTGCCGCCCAGATGCGAGAATGGTTGGAAGAGCACGGTGCGGAACACACGTACTTGAAAGAGGTTTTGGACGGTGCCCGTGTTCTAATTGATGGAGGCACAAAAGCTGTGGCAGAAGTGTATGTGCTTCCTAAGTACCAGATGAAACTCGCTCTGGAAAAGCCAGAAGAGTTGCAGAGTCGTTTGGACTTGTTTATGTCATGTTTGCATGAAGACCCTGAGCTCATGATGCGACAGAGCTTGGGGAACGTGCACACGTGGAGTTTCAAGCGTCATAAATCCTTGTTGTACCGTTACGTGCTGGTGTGTTGCTTGGCCGATGGCCAAATTTTGGACGAGCATCCGCACTTTACTCATGACACAGCGTCTGAGCACGCTGCTTTTGTAAAAAGCCTTGTGTCCAACTTTAATTTGAATCGGGTCGCGCATGGGCCGAAGGCCCACAAGCGCGGTCGAGCCAAAAAAACCAAGCAATCCGCTGGCTTCCGTGAGAAGGTGCGGACTCCATCACCTGAGGTGCGCGCCCTTTCGTAACTGCATGTGCAGGGCACTTCCAAGAAGTTTGGGAACTCTTCGGAAGTCGCCAAGGCAGTTGGTGCAGACTCTCTGGAAAATGCTTTGCGTCTGCGGGAATCGGTTTTGCAGAATGGCAGGCTGTGCTTGTATGACCGGTTTCAGCAGCGGGGTTTTGGGGGGACTGTGCTTGTGTGAGAATTTTCGCACAGAGAAGCAGCGGGGTTTTGGGGGGACTGTGCTTGTGTGAGAATTTTCGCGCAGAGAAGCAGCGGGGTTTTGGGGGGACTGTGCTTGTATGAGAATTTTCGCACAGAGAAGCAGTGGGGTTTTGGGGGGACTGTGCTTGTGTGAGAATTTTCGCACAGAGAAGCAGCGGGGTTTTGGGGGGACTGTGCTTGTATGAGAATTTTCGCACAGAGAAGCAGCGGGGTTTTGGGGGGACTGTGCTTGTATGAGAATTTTCGCACAGAGAAGCAGCGGGGTTTGCGCGGACTGTGCTTGTATCACGATTTGCAGAGATAGGCAAGGGGGTTGGGCACTGTGCTTGTAGGACAGGTGTGGAAATCTGCAGTGGGTTGGTTGGGACTGAACATTGAAAACCTGTGAACTGTAAAATGCCAGGCCCGATTGGGCAGTATTTAAGTGCAGGCGGGCACGCTTGCCTGCACACGGCAAGCGGTGCCGCAGTAACCAGGCTCGGGAACGCTTGCCTGCACACGGCAAGCGTTGCCAACGCCGCAAGCGAGCGTCATTCAATCCATCTGGGCAATTCTGTTGTTTGAAGTCTCCATTGCTGGTGAGCTGGCTTGCGCAGTTCACTTCCAAGACTTTCCATCTTGTCGAAGCCGACCTTTCCGTTGTGCCTTTTTTGTCGTGATGTGCCCACACAACACCTCTGCACCCATCCCAGTGGAATCAATGCTTTCACACCGCATTGAACCTGAGCTTTTTGTTGTGGTCGTTTGGCGGTGGTTTTGTTTTTTTTTCTGGTCGTCTCACCTTTGAACCCAACCCACAAGAACGGCTTACTGTACTACTGATGCAGTAAAGAGGCGCCCGTCCACAAAAAACAAAACTTCGAGAATCTCACTTTCTTCCAGGCAACTTTTGCACCACAGCGATGCCTTTGATTCACTTTAAACATTCCATTTTTCAAGAAATCAGAGAAGGAGAGCAATAGAGAAGCATTTTAACCCACCTCCCATTTCTTGTTCATTGTTGGAAAACCTCGTCATTTTTATTTCTTGTATTTTTCTGAGAATGAGCAGAGAAGTTCCACCTCCCTCGTTTGTTGATTTTCTTTGTGCTCAAACAACGAGAATTAGAGAAGCAGCATAGAGAAAGTATCCCCTCGTTCATCGTTTTTTGTTTCTTGTGTTCATCTCGAAAATGAAGGAGTTGAGAATTAATCTGAATTCCACCCGCTCGTTTCTTGTCTTGTTGTTTCTTGTGCAACATCCTCGTTTTGTTTTTGCTAATTTCTTGTTTGTTTTCTTAGGGGTTGGGTTAACCCAAACCCCAACCCTGACCAGCAAACCGTTTGGCTTAACCCAACTGTAGTTGGGGTTCAGGCTATCCTGGGTTTGGGCTTTCTGTTAACCTGAACCCTAACTCAGGGAACAGGGTCGGGTTGGGTTAACCTGAACCTGGGTTGGAGTTGGCCCCCCTGCCTGGTGTCCGACCCAAGGTTGTAACCTGAGTTGAACCTTAACCCTCAACCCCAGCCCGCGGGGTATGCTCTCACTGAAAGGCTTTCAACGCCGAAGCCCTCAGCAAAATGCGGGGGGTGCAAGATCGTGGTATTGGTTTTGCTTCGGGAGTAGATGGGAATCCCAAGCTCCGCTTGGAAACCCTGTTTGTGCAGCACTCTTGATCAAATTCCATGGTGTTTGAAAGTTTGATTTCGCGTGATTTATATACTCAGCAAATCATGTTTTGATGTTTTTGCCCAATACACTGCGGATGCGGGCATGGTTCGTCGTTCCCAACAAAGTAAAGTCAAGCCTTCATGCATCCTAGCGAGGGCCTTCAAGTGTTCTTGGTGGCTGGTGGCCGGAGTGAGCAGCTCTGAGTTTATGTCGCGAGCTGAACAGGGAACCTCGTTTCGCAAGTCTTGTTGTAATTTTCGTGCATGCATTGCAAAAATGAGGAAGTGTACTCAGACTTTCGGTTCAACCTATCCCAAGTAGGGAGCTGGGTGGACAGTGGAATTGTCGTGACCTGTGGGCCATTCCAGTCGGGCAGAAGCCTTTGGAGGGAACGTTCTTCGGCTTGCGTCAATTGGATATAAACAAGACCGCTCACTGAATTGCTGACGCATAACGGAGCTCCCGACAAAAACAAGTTGCGTCCACAGGGTAAAAACATTTTACCATGCGCTGGAGGATCATTTTTGATCCCAGATTTTCGACATCGACAGCCGTTTCACCTTTTAGATTTGGGATCGTGCGCTGTTGGTGCGTTCTTCTGTTGCGTGTTTTGCGTTTTCTTCTGCTGATTTGTTACGCGTTTTCATGCAGACATTTACGGACAGGCCTACTGTGCAGCTGACGCTGTAAACAGGAGAGGAAATGTTGATATGCCGGATACCCTGTTCGAAACTTAGTTTTGCTTGTTTTTGCAATTGGTGGCTAGGAGCACCTGCGCTGCACAGGCTCCAGGAGTTGTGTGTTACATGGGTATGTAAGTTCACGTGAAATTACATAGAGAGCCTAGGGGAGATATGCAGATGCAGCTGTTGGAATGATGCAGTTTATCGTCGTGACGTGAACAAACATGACGCTGCTGATGCTGGCTGGCTGGCCGCTGTCGCCATCAGTCCCTGCTCTCGACAAGCCTGTTGGCAGGACGTTTTGCACGGTTTTGCTCTGCTTGATCGCGGACAAAGGTTCTTTGCCTTTGTGATTTTGTCACCGATGCAATTTTCAGCGTTCGAAGCTTGCCCTTGCATGCGCAGTTGCACCGTGCATGCCCTTGCAGCTTTTGTTGTCGTTCGTGTCTGCTCGCAAGCAGAATTCCCCGTTCTCTTGCTGTAACATGCATGGAAGTGAATGCAAAGTTGGTTCGCCTCATCCACGAGAAAGTTCCTTGTATTTGTTTCTTTGTCACCGATGCAGCTTTTGTCGATATCGTTGCAGGACGCTTGCCCCAAGAAAGCTTTCAGGTGCAGTTGCAGCGCAAGCTTTTGACATGTCGCTGTAGTTTGCGAAGCCATGTTGTCGAGCATTTTTCGAGAGCAACATTCTCAGTCGCACATGCGCAGCATGCCTGTGGCACAGGCTTGGGCGTCACAGCAGCATTTGCAACAGCCGCACGTTCATATTTGCGCGACCGTGGTCGTGGAAGGTTCCGTGGAAGGCGGGCTGGGCAAAGCGACATGGACAAAAGTACGCGTAGCTAGGGTACAATCTTGGATTTTTCGAACAATGTTGTTCAAGATTGGCTTCCCACATATCTGTTCTGCAGGCGACATGCTTCCAGCAGTTTTGAAGGTTTCCCGACCAGCCTGGACTTTGGACTATATTTCTTTGGCCGCGGCGGTGTCTGTCAGAAGTATGTCGATGGCAGGGACAATGCTCACTTTTCACCCAACAACGATACTTTGGTGTACGTGCATGGCTGGGAGGTGGGTAGAGTCAGTCAGATTTATCGGGAGACTTTCAACTGGAAGAACAACGAGCCCAGATGTGGTCTGGATTTGGATCTAGCTGGGCCTTGGCTGGACCGTGGTTGGAACGTTGCCATTTTTTACTGGGACACCTGGCGAAAACATCTAGGCCAATCTAGGCCGTAAACTTTGTGAATCTCATTTGCTAAGGATTCGGATGTTCCCCCCTATCCTTGCAGTCCCTCATCGGGATTGTAGGTCCCCCCCCCCCCCTTTCCTTTCATCCCTGCTAAGGAGCTGTTAGTATCAGTGGGGAGCATCCCAAGCTGAGGACATGTTTTCCGATGAGCCTTGGTTGCCCGACGCTGAAGCCAAGATTTGGACAGCCAGTGGAAGCAGGTCGACACACTAGCTTAGGGTTTAAGGTTCAGAGTTGAGGGTTCAGGGTTTAGGGTTTAGGGTTTAGGACCATTTCACGCTCCGTGGAACGTGTGACTTTAGACTGAACTCTAGCACGCTGCTTGTCTTGTTTCTCACATTTGCGTGATGCTGGTGAGGCGGATGCGATATCGGCTTGCTTCCGGAGATTTTCAGGCAGGGTGGTTCTTTGATGACGGTCCTGTGATTTTCATTCTCCGGTACTCATTCTCTGGTACAGGATTTGGCGGGTTTGGCTTTAAGATAAGCGCTGATGCGACCCACAACTTCAATCCTTCGCAAGATTCAGGAGCGAGGCTCGCCGAGCCAATCTGCTTCAGTCTTGCTGGGCAAGTGTTTGACCGGCTTGGTCCGAGCAGCTCCCGGGAAACGATTGCGGCTGGCGGGCCATTCTCTTGGGTGGCGACCTCACGTCAGCACCTAGTGCGTCCGAATCTGCTGCAATGGAACCCGTAGCCGCGGATAGCCTGTAGGTAGCGCTTTCATGCTTGCTGTTGCCATTGCTGTGCCTTCGGATGTCAAGGTCGCCGTTAGTCATCGCTGCGGCCTCCAACATGTTCTCAAGATGCGCACCGAATCCTGCAACTATTCGAGGCTTGGACGATTTGGCAAAGGGTCTGAACTGAATGTGCCTAATTAGTTGAGTCGCGAGCGCAGTCAACTTCGGCTGAACCGTGCGCGCGCATGTGCATTTGTATTGTGACGGACTGGGCAAAATCTTCGCTGAGGACTTGTGTTGCTCGACCCTTACTGGTCTCGCAGAGTGCGGGTGCTGAATCCGCAAGACTACTTAGAATCAGTGGACACACTCTCGCAGAGCCTTGGGGGCACAAGTCAGTGGACTTCCAAGCTATCTTCAGCCGGTGCATCGATAGCTGCAGCTGGAGTGCTACCTTAAAACCCTGAACCCTAAGCATGTATGCATCAGCCCTAAACCCTGAACCTTAAACCCTAACCCCTAAACCCTAATCCCTAAACCCTAAACCCCCAAAACCCTAAACCCCCAAACCCAAAAACCCTAAGGATGCCCAGAAGCAGTGGCAGAAATGCAACGACTGCCGACCTCAGCCTCTCCCTGGCCTTGATGCTGGCAAGAAAGCGGGTGCTGCCACCAAGCAAAGAAAGTTGGCACATCGGGTGCTTGTGAGGCTTCTAAGGGGGGTTTAGGGTTTAGGGTTTAGGGTTCAGGGTACGACAGCAAGGTATATAGACCCCCAAATTGTAGGAGCCCCTGATAATGTGGACCTCAATAAGGTGCCCCTAATCTCGGAAGCCCCCACATGAATAAGGGTTTCTACAGGTCCATGTCTTCCGGCCATACTATAGGCGACCTTGCGACGTTGTTGAAGGGGCTCGTGAAAGTCCCTCGATCGACAGGCCGCATGATGAAGTCGTCTCCTGCTGTGCGAGCTCCAAGGTTGCCAGGTGCTAGGAGGCTGCGAAGACGCCGCCGAAATACAGAACTAGCCGAGTATCGTGGATGAGCCAAGCCCAGCCCTTTTTGTTCGCCAACACCGAAGGCCACGACCCTCCTCTGAGCCGTCCAGCCTACCTGACAAGCCCTTTGACCTTCCAAGCCACAAGCATTGTCGCACATGGTCTATTCGTGGAAGGAATCGAAAGTTGTGGGAACGCACTCGCGCAAGTTCAGGGATAGTTCTCTGTGTTCCGGTGCCGGCATTCTGAGGGTGGGGGGGGGGGTCACCACCAAACCCCCCCCCCACAGACCCACCCCCCACCCCCCCCCCCTCACCACCCCCCACCCCCTCACCATCCCCCCCCCTCACCACCCCCCTCCCCCGCACCCCCCCTCACCACCCGCACACGCGCATGGTTGTGGAGTAGTAGTAAGTTGTAAGTAGTAGTAAGTACGGTAGCGATAGCAGTAGCAGTAGCAGTAGCAGTAGGAGTAGGAGTAGGAGTAGGAGTAGCGGTAGCAGTAGCAGTAGCAGTAGTAGTAGTAGTAGTAGTAGTAGTAGTAGTAGTAGTAGTAGTAGTAGTAGTAGTAGTAGTAGTAGTAGTAGTAGTAGTAGTAGTAGTAGTAGTAGTAGTAGTAGTAGTAGTAGTAGCAGTAGCAGTAGCATGTGAAGTCGACCAGCACTGGACTTGCACTAAACCAATGCAATCACAGCCCGGTCACGCTGTTTTACGACTTCGCGAGTTCAAGCACTTGTGCAGCTACGCCTGAGTGCGTCCGGTCGGACCGCACAGCAACCTAGGAGCTACTGTACGACTCTACCGTGCTCAAAGGCACAAGCTCGGTACTTGAGCCAAAATATTGGCATTGTTACGAATTGCAAAACTACACATGCAAGGAAAACTACAGTACTGGTTCTGGCAGCTCTGCACATGGAACGTGCGTGCTTAGACCTGCTCACATTCGCCCCTCAGCCGAGGCTTCCAGCTCATCTCGAGCTCGGAGTGCAGCAGGCACTCGCGCTGAACACAGAAAGGGAAGGACGAGGGTGTCGCGTGCGACCATGGTGGTCCGCACCTCATGAGCATTGGCATGCGGCAGGGACGCTAGCCCGCACCACCACAACGAACGCACGACGACAGCAACCCTCAGCAGCCCTTAACCGCCCTTTCCCAGGAGGTCCTCACCCTTTTGCTGGTGGGCGAGGCTCTTGAATCCTCGAGCTGGTCTCTAGCTGCCAGTACGCAGACTATGGTACAAATGGTACACTGTACACGGCCGGTCCTAAGCTACGGCTACGGCTACTCACCTATCCAGAACTACCCTACGGGCTACCCGCGCACATGGCTTGTGCCGCAGGCAATGCAGCTCACACGCGCTTCGGCGAGCGCATTGCCGCGACCAGGACACGGTCGGCAGCAGCCGCAACGGGCTGAGAAGAAAAGTGCGGGGTAGGCAAAATGGGCAGGGCAAACCCCTGCCGCGGCTCTTCGCCCGCTAGCAAAACACAATCAAAAGAGGCACGACAGCGTGCCGCGCTGTGATGCCTAAGAAATCGCGTGGAAACGATTCCACGCTGCGCCGACTGGCCGCAGCCTACTCGATACCCTGTGGAGCAGTGTTGGGGGCACGAGTGGCGATGCCAGCAACGTTGGAGCTACTGGCTCGCTCCAACTGAGGGCGCTTTGCGACCGCCTCATCGAGGGAGAATGCCTCAGCCGACACCCTCTGGAAATCCTCGATGTAGGACTGCGCGACCGGGTGCGTCTTGGAGACCTCAAGCTTAAGCCCTGCCTCCGCATTGGCTTTGCTACTTGTGGTAAAATTGAGGCTCCCAATCAGCACCACCGCGCCATCAGGCCGCAGTAGGCAAAGGGCCTTGGCATGGTGAAGCCCTTGGATACCGGTACCTACTTTAGCCCCGCGGCCGTCGCGAGCATAGGCGTCGCGCACGGATGTGCCGCAACCCACCTTCACCTCGGCGCCTGCAGCCGCCAAGCGTTTCAACGCTTGCCACTGCAGTTTGGTGCGGTGGCATTGTCCCATGTCGGCGACAATCCGAACGCCTGCGCCCTTGCTAAGCGACGCTTCGATTGCCTCGATGCAGGATGGGCAATCTAAGCTGTACGCCCGGATGTAGATCACATCCTCTGCTGCTCCAGACCCAAGCAGCGTTTGGGCGGCCTGAACGTATGGCCCGCCCGCAAGGAATTCCGCTTCTTTGACTGGAGAACTCCTAGCGGGGACTGGGCCCTTGTTCCTCCGGCTGGGTGTGCGCGCCACAGTGGCAGTGGCGGCACGTTGCACGAAGCCGGACTGTGCGTGGGCTGCGCTCGCTCCACCTGCTGGGGCCGCGGCCAGGTCACGACCCGCGAGCCCCTGAAAGCAGGAGAGCCCGCGGCTCTTGGCCGCAAGTTGGGAGAAGCATCCTTCACTGTTCCCCAAACCCAACACAACCTTACCCTTAGCTAGGGCTTCGGAGGCGGTACTCCGAATGGAGTCTGTGAGCGCAGGACCCGCGCCTCGCTGGGCCGCGTGCAAAAACCCTAGGGATCGAGCGGTGTCCATTGCGGCATCGCAATGCCCGCAGCGTCCCTCTGCTAGGTAAGCACGACAGCCACAGGCAGCTGTCTCCTCCTTGAGGTGCACCCAAACTTTATGGGTCACCCCTTTCTTAGTGCTCGCGACCTCAAACGTCGCTTCAGAGCCAAGGAGTTGAGACAGCCGCGCCTCAGGGGCCGCGGTGTTGCCATGTCGCAGATGCGCAATGCGATTGGCAACGGCACGACTCACGTACCACAGAACAGCGCTGCACAAGATCACTACCACCAGAGTGATGGCTGTTCCGGCGACCCACACGGTCCGCCTGGCCCCATGACCGATTTCCTCGACCACGTCGGCCGAAATTGTTGCAACCGCGTGCATTGAGTCCTCGACAACATGCACAGCCCCGCGGTGCAACTGCAAGGCAATCGGCGCCGACGCTGCAGCCGCCAGGCCCCACCAGCCGTTGATGTTCCCGTTGAGGGCGTGCATCAGCCGATTGAGGAGCCCGCGACCCAGGAAAAAGGGGGTCCGCGGCGGAAGCGGAACACTCGGCGGCGGCCGGGCCGGCCCGCGCGGGAAGGCTGGGACCCAGCTTGTGCTTGGGCGGGGCTGGAGCGCGGCAACTATGCCCGCGGCGTAAGCGCCCCAGGCGTACCTGCCCCTCCCCTTGGGCTTGCCCTTGGCATCGGGCTTGCCTCTGCCCTTCGGCTTGCCCTGGCCCTTGCCACGGGCATCTGCCCAAGCACTCCAAGGGTCGCGGCCCTTGCCGTACGTCGCGTCTTCGCGACGTCGCTTACCGCCCCTCTTCTTGTGTTTGTTTCTAAGAAGAGGTTGGATGGTTTCTTGGTCCATCGCACGATTGGCCAGAAGGATCTCGTGCTCCAGCTCGTCCTGGCTGCTTTCGGAGCCAGAGTTCCTCTCTTCGCCACGCCGCGGATCAGGGATCCCGCGAGAGACGACCTCTGCCAAACGGAGAGGGGTGCTGCAGCGAAAGCACAGCTGCCTGAATGAAAGATTCCATTCATAGCAGTTAGGGCACTGCCACCCTGCAATGCGGAGCGCTTCGCTGATGTGATCATCGCGCTCCGCCTTCTCCGCCTGGCGCCGCTCTCGCTTCTTGGCGCGCTCGGCCGCCTGCGCCTCCTCGGCCGCCTGGAGGGCTTCAGCGAGTTCCTCATCGCTGAGAAGCCTCGCGGCATCCGCCCGCGCTTGTTGGTCTTCAAGCTCTTCGGCAGAAAACCTCCGCCTCCATTGCTCTGGCGCGGTTTGAGGGTCTACCTCCCACCACCCGATGTCGATCCCGTTGATCCATCGGCCGTCGCACGGGGCACCCGCTTTCGGGCCGCCCGCGTGCGTGGTGAGGCACTGGTCCTCGGTAACCGGGTTGATGGCTTCGCAGAAGAAGCACCGCCAGCTGCCGTAGGGGTAAAAGCGGCCTTCGACGTAGGCTCGGTTGGCTGGGAGGGCGACATCGTCCGCCTCATCCGCGGTGCCTGCCTCCATCTCAACCGAGACCTCCTCGTCCTTGACAACCCCAGCTTCCTCCTCCTGTTCCTCCTTGACCAGGGGCTCTTCTCGCTCCCGGCCAACGTTGAGGTGGGACTCAGTGCGAACCTCGGCGCGCATCAAAATGACGTCAAGGCTATCCGCGGCTGGGTCGCCCGCGAAGAAGGAATCGATCTCCTGGGCATGGAGATCGTCAAGAGGCGTCACTAGGTCTGGCGAGTAATCCCGCTTGGAACGACGCTCTGCAAGGCGTTGCTGAACGTCGCTCTTCGGCGGCCCGAGGGCCCGCCCGCGCGGAGCGGCCTCCCGCGGAGGTCCATGCTCGGCCTCCTCCGTGGGCTCGCTCTTGGGCGTGGACCCTCCACCGCTACTCTCTGGTGATCGTACCCGTTGGCTTTGTGGTACCGAGTCACTCGGAGCATGGGCACCTCCCCATACCCACCGTCCTTTCCTCGGCGGAACAACCGTCCCCGCCAGTCTTGACGAAAAGGGTCAAGAGGTGCGGAGGGGCTGATCCCCAGGTTGGGCGGAAGAGAGGCGCCATGGGCCGCCTGATGCAAGTGGTATTGCTGAGCATCCATAGTGGCCGTCAGCATTGGGGCGAGGCACCTCTGGGGCCGGGGCGGACTGGACGGTC